GTCATTTAGCTGACGCTTTTATCCAAAGCGACGTACAATAAGTGCATTCAACCACAGGGATACAAACTCAAAAGAACAAGAAACAAGAAACTGCAATTTCCTAAAATAAGCCAATTTACAATTTGCTATAGATGAGTGCCGTTATAAGTACAATTTAAGTGCTACAATTTGTTAGTCTTTTAGTGGAGGTAAAGTCTGAAGAGGTGTGTCTTTTGTTTGCGGCGGAAGATGTGAACGTCCTGCGGTCTCTGCGGTCCTGGTGTCTTCAGAGAGCTCGTTCCACCATTTCGGAGCCACGACAGCAAAGAGTCGTGATCTAGTCGAGTGTTTTTCTCTCAGTGAGGGAGGGACGAGCAGTTTTGCAGATGCAGAGCGGAGAGTGCGGTCAGTGAGTCAGGATGTGGAGTACTACTACTACTACTACTACTACTACTACTACACATACAACTACACAATACACGTTATATATATATATATGAATTACTTTTGACCCCACTTCTCCCATGTACACACATGAGTTATTCAGATATCAAGAAATACTCATGATTCTATTACACTTTAGAGATTAACTACTTTTACAGCTCAGTCAGAGAGGAATTGATGAAATTTCTGGTGTACAATGATCAAACATTATTTTTTTTCTCCTATTAATGAGAACGCACTAAACAGTCACATCAATGTCACTGAATCCTGACAAGATCACAATGAAATTAACGCTGACTTATCTACAAATACTGCTAGTAATACAAATTTGACACAGACAGTCCATGAGAGGGCAGCATGAGACCATGCATGTGGTATTTCAAGGTAAATAACTTGATGTGATTTTCCCATATAAAAAACCTTATCTCAGTAAAGTGGAGTTACTGCTGCTTTTGTGACCAATCCACCTATGTATAAGGTTTCTAAGCACTTCGTTTTAATCAGTTTTAATCCATTTTGACACACTAAATCTGGAGCACAGATTGCATACATTTAGCAGGTATGGTGGCTTTTGAAGTGTGTGATCATAAGAACATGTGCTCTCTTCTTGGCTGTTGCTTTCATTTTCTTTTTGCTCTTCTAATTTAGACAGAGGACCTCTTCATTTACCTCTAAACCCTGTGTGTGCTGTGTGCATACAACTTAACGCTATAGCCAATAATTAGCTACAAGACCAGGGAGTGCACAGGGTTACAGGCAGAAGCATTGTTAGACGGTGGATGTGTTGGGGCACATTACAGACTTAACACTAGTTTGTCGAAATTGGGCCCAAAAATGTATATTTAGTCATTGGTAAAGGATAGGGTCAGGCTACTTTTATAGCCGCAAAAGTATTTAAGATTTTGGATTTTTTTTTTTTTATTGCTGCTAGAGAAAAATGTTTACATACAAAAATACAATTCAATTAATTGTTTTTGTTCTCACAAACAGAACCGAGGAGATTATCCCAAAGGTGTAGTGTTGATGAGTACTAGTATTGTTAGAACTTAAGGTAAAATAAAGAAAATGTATGAGCCATGAGTTGACCATTATGATGAAAATGGAGTCAGCCTCTGCACGTGGCTGCACATTACATGAAGGAGTTTCACCAAACCCTCGTGGAACTTCCCAGAGATTAAACAACTCAACCAAACTCATATAAAAACAGTAACTCTTTCTCTAGCAACAAAGGAAAAGAGCACAGTGTTGACTTTATGCATGCTAACGTTAGCCTACCATGCAACTGAGAACACAGAGGTCAGTGACTCAAGGCTGAAATGTTATTTTGCAGGGTTGGGGTTAGATGTGTACTAATGACATTTTGCATCACAGGGTACACGCCAGGGTAAGACTTCCATTTTGTTCGCACGTAAACAGGAAGCCGGACCAGGACGCACGTGGCAGAGCGGCAATATCTTCGCTCAATGCTGCCACCATGTAACACAAGTCTACATTAGCAATTCACAAGGTTACAAGGTTTTGATTTGCCTTTGGATGACAGGGTTGCACGATTCAATTTTGAAAATGCGGTACTTACAGACGTGCGTGCTGGAGTCAGGGGGGGAAAGACGCTGTTCTGAAATTTGACGGTTCTTGCAGCCGATACTTCTGCATCTCTTCCCATATGGCAACAGGAGCAGGCGGAAGTTGTGGCTGGGTTGGTTGTGTTTTTTAATATTGCCTCAGCTCTTCTCGGGCCGCTCTTCTCACCATCATCCCTGATGCTCAGGGGGTGTAACCCCTTATTTTAATAGCCTGATTAATGGAAGCAGGTATATCTAATATGATGGTGCAGAGGAGTTGAAATGTCTAAATGTAATTTCTAAATATATGATTATAACACGTTGAAATTATTTTGGCAATATCTTAAATTAGCATTTTAACAATCAAATGCAGTTAAATTAGTTCAAGGATATTTCACAAGTCAAAATCTTCTAAATCAAAAATGTCTAAATATGTATCATGTCAAAATAGTTTTACAAGTATCTTAAATTATCACAAATAATTAAATGCAATTAAATCACATCACAATATTTTGACAAGTTGAAATGTGGTGAAGACCAAATTGCCACTCACCCTCCCAGTTGCCCTGTATATGTTGCCTCTACACCTGCATTGAATCCAATTCAACAGCCCTTCATTAATGAAAACTGTCTGACATTTCAAATGCTTCAACGCCAGCGTTCATTCAACAGTGTTGGGGTTGTTTTGGCAGCTGTCGTGTGTGTGGTCCTGTTAAATCACATGCTATTTAAAGTCTTTTAAAAACTGCCACCTCACATTTTATGAAGGAATGTACAGTACTGGCATCCAAAACAACAACAACAATAACAGTCCTACCTCCACTTGTTGGGAGCACAGAAAAGTCCACAGTGAGTCCCGGGCTGAGATTTTCCTTCAGCAGCCAGAGTCCAAATGTTCATCCATCAGCAGTGACAGCCAGGCAGAAAGCGATAGCCACACTATCACAGCCAAAGCAAATAAATTGACTGATTACACTCGTATGAAAGCTGCCTTCAGGAGAGTTACGAACATTTTCCCTCTGGTTACTATCCAGCTCATACAGACAAAATGAAATGATTTACACAAAGTGTTCATTTTATAGTGTTGGTTAAATGTCCCGTCAAGACAGGCAGTGACTAATTTCAGAACAGGGATAAAATAATATTATTTATTGTCCCTCATAGAGAGACACACGTTTTTGATGAATTATAGCGTACAGTGACATTGTAGTTTGATTAAGAGTATATTTATTTAATTCTATAGGACAAAGCGATTGGTTTCATATACTGCTCATTTGGTAGAGCATCATTTCTGCTGTGATATCTCATTGGAAAATGTGTGCTACATACTCAATGTGTTTCGGCTGTGTTTAGTGTTTGGTTGTATGAGGCCAAAACAAATTCCCAGAGTGCTCTGCAGTATTCAGCAACTGGTCTTTAAAATTAGCAAATGAATAGTACTTTTATATCTTTATTCTAGACTTTCAAGGGGTTTAACACTACATGTCATCATTCACACATTCACACTGATGACGGGAGATATCATTTGCAGTTCCACCTGCCCATCAGTAACTAACATTCACACCATTCACACACCCGAGTCACAGCTTGGTGTGTATTTGCCCAAGGACACAACAAAATGAAGTGCCAATCCTCTGATTGAAGGATAACCTGCACTTCATTCGCCCACAGTCCGTTCTTAAGGTGCCTTCTTTATATCTCTCTTTAGATCTCCTTAAAAAGGTGGCAGTAATTCACTCGCAACCAGGGAGGAGCTATCCACAGTTATCTGGGAACAGAGGCCTCGGACTTTGAAGTGTTGGGAAACGCTGTGGTGCATGATGGGTCTCTGATAGCCAAGGCCTAATGAAGCCCAATGAACCGTCTGCATATGTCAGAGCAGCAATTCTGAGCTCCTTCACCTGGCTATGTCTTGAGGTTCACTCCCTGAAGATCCCAAATGGAATCAGTGATTACAGACTTTAATGTGCTTGACTTCCTGATTATTGACAGAGATCTCAGTCTGGCCATTTCAGGACCAAGCTCCAATGATCTCATGACAAACCCTTTCCAGGGTAGAGAGTCAGTCTATGACCGTGAGAGCATCCCCACCGCTCCCCCTGAGACTCCTTATACAGGCATTAGCTATTATAGTGTAATCAAGTTGTGTTCTAACATGTTGTGTGTTAGGGAGGATCTGTGACACACACACATCCAACAAGAAAGCCCTGTATATGGTTTGGATTGAACAGAATAAGAAGTTATTAGGACACATCCTTAGAATCAGTTTGGTGGGCCCAGTTCCCCAACCCGGTCCCACTGCCGACGCTGTGGTTGCTCCAGGGCTTAAGTCCATGACTGTGTAATCACAATATTCCCAACCAAGCACCTGTAGTGCATGTAATCCTCTAACTATCTGCTGTCAATATATCTAATAAAAGAATACTGTAAATGTTTCATATTTTACCTAAATCCTGTTTTTGAGATGTATTTTCCTACCATTTCATTGAATTGAATTAATGCGAGGTATACACAATATGAGAAGGAGGAGGAGCAGAGGACGAAGGCACAAGGCTCCACCGACCCATCCCACTGATGGTTGTCTGACAGGCGGGAGGGATCAGAAGAGGCATCATGACGCATTGTATTGGTTGTTGTTTACATTCCTTACGATGCAAATGCAAACATCTGTACTACTGTTGCGTTTGTGGTGCTACAAATGCTATACAAAAACTGCAACTGAATTTCGTGGGCCATCAATGTTGCATTTAATATAAATTATCCTTCTTTTTTATCTGTATGAATTTGTTATGTGTGTTAACTAGTTTACATACATAACCTAGTTTACATAAATAACAGCCCACGGCCATTGTGTAAAGTGTGCAGACGAGCAGTTTGTATTGTAGACTTTCTCCCGCGCGCACAAAAACAGCCCCCCCCCCCGGAGAGAAAGAGAGAGAGAGAGACCGGGAGAGAGAGGGAAGGAGGGAGAGATGGGGTCTACGGACGGACAGTGCAGAGGTGCTCTGGGGGGGGTTGCAGGTCGGGTTACCACTCATCTAAAAACTTCGCATTTTGGATGTTTTCCCCCTGTTGTCGTTGTGCAGTGTCGCGTGCACGCGCGGAGCGGGGAGCCTGGTTTCTGTATTTGTGGATGGATGAATAGACGTGGGGGGCACACCGTGAAGTGGAGGTGGCGTTGAACAGGTGAAGCCCGGGGGCAGTTAACGAAGCGGTCATAGGAGACAGTGTGGACACGCGCAGCTCCTCTGTATTTTCGGAGGTGCGTTCAGCGGCGGTTGGGATAAACGAAACAAACGAAGCCTGCTCTGTTCTTTGGATTCAAATCACATTATTGGTTCAGTTCAAGTTGTGCGCAACAGGATCTGGACTTTATGGATGCTACAGCAGCTCTTCCCCACCACTCGGTAACACAACTGTATTTGTTACACGAGTATATGGACGGACTTACTTCTGTGCAACAGTCGTTCATGTGAAACCTCCAGAGAAGATGAAGGAAAAATGCAAAAACGCGGCAAAGACGCGGCGGGAGAAAGAGAACGGAGAGTTTTACGAGCTGGCCAAGATGTTGCCTCTGCCGGCGGCCATCACCTCCCAGCTCGACAAGGCCTCCATCATCCGACTGACCAGTAGCTACCTCAAGATGAGGACAGTCTTCCCCGACGGTGAGGACGAGCGTTAACATAGTGCCTGATGGATAAGTAGCCTTCGGAATTTCAGTCGCTCGGGACTGAAAAAGAAAATAGGAACGAGCATATGTGATATATTTCAATTTTGTCATATTAGAATGATTTATAATTGGATAGTAAATCCATTGCCACTCTGTTTTAGAAAACACGTTCACATTTGTATCCATTCACATAATATTGAAATATAGCTCTTCAGTTTAGTGAAGCTTTAAATACAATTGAACGCTCTATTCGTAAAATGTACCAAATTTATGACTGAATCTATTTCAACATTTAGAAAATATAGCTGTTCCGTCATGGGTCGTATTGTATAAGAAGAGGAATACGGGATGTTTTGTAAGAAGAATAAACACGGTGTTGTATAAACATCCGTCTAATATAGTATATATCATATATGTTTTTTTTAATTAAATTGATAGACAAATCAAAACCTCGACTGTGGGAAAATAAACTGATCTATGCACTTCTTTTCAAGTATTAATACCGCATTTTAACGTGTTTATTAGGAAAATATTACGAAATAAATGTATGTTTCATATTAAAAAGTGAGACAACCATTCACCAACACAATAACAGCATTTCTACAATACAATTCAAATAAACCAGCCGTAGGTATTTTCACACCTAAATGTTCTAAACCATAATTTACAAAAAGGTAAGGGCTTATTTATCTAAATAAACTAAGAAGTGGAACTAAAAATAGGCTTGGACAATGTTCTCATAGAGCTTGCTGTATGCCCATTTAAAATGCCTTCATTCATAGTTAGATGTATTAATTGGTTTTAATTATCATTTGGCCTTATAATGGTATCCTCGCAGTAAAAGAAAAAAGAAAGTGAGAGTTCGCTCCTTCGCTGAATCTCCCCGGGCTGTTAAACCAATTTCGTTAATTAGGGTGTCATCGAAGTGTTGAGGTTGTTTTACCACTCCGATTAAACCCCGATGTCTCTCTTAAACACCTCACTCATTCATCAAGTTGAATTATTTCTTCAAGGCCGCATGCAGCAACGCCGCGGCGGGTTAGAGGGCAGGCAAACAGAGCCCTTCCTCTCTGTCATCACTCATAAAGTCAGAGTGATCACACGGCCTCTGTGGCCGGGCCACCCGTCGAGAGTCCAGCGAAGCCGCCGTCGCGACCTCTTTGTCCGGGAGGCAGTGAACGCCTCAGCGGCAACTGGCCCGCTCGCCCCGTGAGACGTCCAGCGTGCAAAGCCGACGGTGCGTTTAACCAAATCCACAATGTCTTCAATCCATCTGTGCTGGATTACATTTGTTGCATCTGTAATCCAGATAATTATTCGCAAAGCAGACGCGGGGGAAGTCTGTAAAACACACTTTGAATTATCAGGAGGGCTTTTATGACTTGTCGATGATCTTCAATCCTCGGAAGAAGAAGAGGAGATTAGACTCAGTAGATGTTAGAGTCGCATTCTGGAGTGGAGAAGTACGTGGGAATGTTACTTTTATATTTTGGATACTTTTAAAAAGCACATAAAGCTTGCTGATCAGTAGCTTCACCTTGGCTCATCAAACATTTTCATCGTTATTTTTCTTGACTTTGTATGTCAAATAAAAACCAAACAAGCAAACTGTGCGGGCCTAATAACTAAAATAATATTAATAATATGTATTTTATTTTATGTTGGTTCCAAGATTTAAGCTATTTTATTGCGCCGTTAAGTGCAGGTTGAAGAACATCGGGAATCCAATAAAATTCACAAAATATGGAACGATTTGAGCTTTGTGGAGGTCATGGGAAGTTTGTGATATTCAGATTTGGATTTAGGTTTATTTGGATGTAGACGAAATTATTTATTCATGTTAAAAGAACACGTTTATCAATATAATAATCTATTGTAAAGGATAACTTATAATTCATTGGGTGTTTTGAAGTTCATTTAAGGAAAATAAATAATCTACATCTTCAATATAATGAATCATGTAATTGTCAAAGATGGAAAGATAAGTATTATCTCAAACACAATTTTAGTACACTAGGTGCTTTATTTAAGATTTAATGATTTTATATAAAAAAAAATATGTGCATATAAAATGTATCAATGCAATTTAAAATATTGATCATCTTAAAATTACTTTTTTGGATCTTAACCCTGTACAACTTCACCCTAACCTCGATTGATAAGGAGTAGTGATACCTTTCAGCGTACTTTTACATTGTTATGAAGTACGTTTCAGTTTTAAATAGAAAGTCAGGTCCTTTCTCTTTGCAATTTACATATGTTTACAGAATTTTGCATTTTGTATTTTCCCATACCCCGGCGGTGCTCTTCTAGTGCAAATTTTGGTATAAAATAACAAATTATGCTGAAAGCAGAATTAAGTGAGCTGTTTTGCAGAAACACAGCATGAAATAGCTGCAAAAGACTCGTTTAGAATTGTTTATTCTAGATGTATGCAAATATGTATTTGTTTATCTTAAATAAATGACTTCTTTGTCTAGAATAATCTGATAATATTCCACTATTTGATATGTTATCAGTTAAACAATATCACACATCTATTTTGGAGCCCTTGCCCTGTCATCCACGTGTTTCTGTAAGTTGTTTATTTGGGTCATCAGTCTGAGAGAAAGAGACTCATTTTAAATTTGATACGTTGTGGGTCGGCTTCCACCCGGTAAGAATATAAAAGTTTTTTTAACACTGATAAGTGGAGCACTAGAGCACTCAAAAACATTGCTGACGGTTGCATTCTAAAAAGCATGAGCAGAGGGAAGTAGTTTGGGTCATGATGTGTCATAGGGTTGAGGACGGCACTGCGGTCTCTGAATGGCAGCCTGGAATATGAAAGAAAAAATTTGAAGTGGACTCAACATTTCAGTCCTTCTTTCAGGTGATGACATATCCCCCTGCTTCCTCCAATGTTAACCTTGTTAGCTGTTCCCACACATGTTTTAATGCAAATGTATTGCCAGTTTGTGTCCGATAGATGCACATGCAGGCAACATTATCATGAGATGCTCACAAAAAAAATGCTCTATGATCTTATGGGAGTAGTAGGGAAGGGGTAAAATAAACACTGGACTTTTTAACAGCAGACTAGTGTTGCAGACCCATGATTATGTTCCGAAGTTAGGTTAGATTAGTTTTTTCCATAAGTTATGTTGTTTGCGTTTTAATTACTTATTTCCGGCCCAAACATGATGTTTCTTCCTCAACCTAAGTGTTTTTTTCCCTAAAAACTCCAGAAAGGCTTTCCAGCGCTGAACATATACTGCCACCAAAGTGGAGTGTCATTAGAAAGAGACTCCAAGGGGTCTGCCCAGCGTCCTTGTGTGAACAGAGGAAATTAGAACGTGTTGTATTTTTTTACCTCAGCACCAAGTGGAAAAGTTCTATAGGCGTGTTTGAAAGAGCATGTCTCTCCGTTCTGTGTCCCAAAGCAAGACAAGATCGTGCCCATTCCCAAGTCTAGAGGTAGCAGTAAGGATAAGGATGGAAATATGAAGGTTGCTGCTTACTTGACAGAATGCTTACAATGGAGTTCAATCATGTTTCAACAATTAAATGGTACAATCTTTTTGCTTTAAATGATTACTTACTTCCTTAGTTAAATAAAAAAAACAATTGCAAAACCCTGAACAAGACTCAAATCTGCTGTTTCCCAAAAATCTGGAATAGTTGGATAGAAGTTCTGGGGTTCTCATGTTTACCATCTGCATATTTTGAAAATGGAAATGTAAAAATAGGTGCTAAAGTGTAACTGAGCTGGATTTTTTGGTCTAAATCTTCCTCTAGCACCAGCATAAACTTAATTAATGGTTTAGAGCACTACATGGAATTATTGGTACCGGTTTGGTCAAGGATCTAAGCCAGCTGAGCTAATATGGTGGAGTTAAAACAATGCCCACCATTGATTGGTCGCTATAGCAGGACATGGGTCATCTGAAAAAAACTGCAGTTTATAAACAGCAGAGCTATAATTAGTAGCGACTGCAAGTGATTATTCATGGAGTTGCAAAAAATCATACTTCACTGCATACAACAGGTACAGTATGCTGCTTTTGAAAGGATTCAGCAAGTGTCCCTTTGAAGATCATTTCACAGCACTTTCATGCCCTCGCTAGGGCAATCAGCTGATCAGCTGAGGGGTGCTATCTGGACACAACCTAAATCCATAGGATTCACTCCCTGGGCCCCCCCGATTCTCCATGCAGCATTTGGTGCCAATCCATCTGGTAGATGAAATGCAAAAGTTGCAATCGTACCTTCACCTCACAGATGCGTAACCAGAGGAGATAGAGGACAACAGAAGCTGTACATTGACAGTTCTCAATAAGGGTCATGAGAGGTCTCGATCTCCATCACCAACCGGCCGTCCCCAACTTTATTCTATGCTGCACAGAACAAGTTAAATGTACTTACGCACTCACAGAGATGGATCACAGGAGAGACATGAAGGGGGTATTGTATGGAATTCTGTTCTGGGGTATCGATTTTTTACCAGGTAATTTCAGAATTGTGGTATCCCTTCTGGGCATGGCCCTCGGCCCTCAACGCAGTCCCAGTTTTATATTTGGTTGAGTTTGACACAACTGCTCTAGTCTACTCAACACTCGCTCCACTTGCTCGCAGACAAAGCCGATTTGAAGCGCGAGTTGGCAGCATGGCCCCGGCACCAAAACGTCAATCCTTTAAAGGTGGAAGTGAAAAACTGATGACACAACTCATTGTTTTGTTATGCACCTTCAACACCCCTACACACACACACACACACAGATAATAACACACCCAGCATGCAGCCACTACCTATGCCACTGATGTTCACACCCCATCGTATCTTCTGTCTGCCATCATTTCTACAATATAGTTAATCTAATTCTAGCCTCTAATCCCAGATTCTGTATTGTGTGGTTTTTATCTGCTGACATTCATTCCTTAAGGCTCTGTAGTTATACATATAACCATCTGGTACCAGCTGAGAATAAAGCACATTCATCTAGCAAACTACCTTGGAGTAGCATGTATAATTTTATTCCATGTGTTCATCCAGGCACATTGGTAAATCCATATGTTAGAAAAAAACGTATATATCATGTAATTTCTTTGTAATCGACCCAAATCATGTGTATGGGTATTTTTTTCAAGACACCAGAAGCAAAAAGAAGTGGAATTAAACTAAAATATGTGTGGTTTGGAATGTTGCCCGAGGACTCAAAAAACACACTCTCTTTTTTGCTTGTTGAGTGATTCCCCTCATATTTAAAAGAAAAGCCGTCTCTTGTTACAGCAAAGATCAATTTCTCGTAATGAAAATAGGATCCGTCAAATCATTCCCAAAATTTGTAGATGAAGTTAAAAGTGTCCACGTCATCATTTCTGCCCCTTGTCATTTCCAGAATCTTACATGGGTTAGCGTTGTTGAAGTCAGCTTACCTGGGCAGCCTGATCTCCAAAACCTGTTCGTAAAAATGTATACGAAAATCTTGAACATACAAATTCGTAGTGATACATACGAAATAAATACGGACTGCAACTGATGACGTCACCCTATTCAAAGTGAATGGGGACCTGCACCCCGTAAACACACTTTGTGAAGTCTAACGATGTAAAATAAACGTGTTATGATTGCATTTTTAACGAGAAATCAATGTTAACTTGTAAGAATAGAATACTAACCCTAACCCCCTCAAAAAATCCAACATGGCGGAGAGACGTTCCAACATGGTCCGCCATGTTGTTCACTCAAGGGGCGTGGTTAACCCCCGCAGTTCGTATGTATTGTTACGAATTTGTATGTTCAAGATTTTTGTATACATTTTTACGAACAGGTTTTAGAGATCACGTTGACCTGGGATCAAGGGTCAATTTTTATTGGATCGTATTTTGTCCCGAACACTGAAATAACTTCTCTCTCTCTCTCTCTCTCTGTAGGTCTGGGTGATGGATGGGGTCGGTCAACAAGGCTCAGTCCTCTGGACAGCATGGCTAAAGAACTGGGCTCCCACCTTTTACAAGTCAGTAAAGAAACAACAAACTGCGTTCTTCCACAATCTCCCACAGTCGCTCTGCTATATCAAATTATATTTCTGTGAGCTATTTTCTGCAGTGCTTTTTAAAATGCTGATTTGGGGGGGGATCACCAACCACCCAGTCCAGTAGCCCACCAGCTAAATCTGCCTTTACACCTAATTATCAAGCCAACAGTACATTTTAAATGTCCAACGCGACAGAAGTGCTGCATATTATTTCGCCATAAATATAAGTCAAAATTGTGCTTTAGGTTTTTTTTTGTTTTGCATTTTAAAATATATATATATATATATATATTATCAGGAGATGCTGCAGGATCATGCATCTAACAGTCCTTTTACACTGCACTGGTTTTCCTTGTATTTTCATTAAAATGCAGCAGTGTGAGGACGCGCCTGTCACAAGCAGTGCACCATCGCTTGTGTTGATTTATTAAGTTCAGTTTAACTGTGAAAAAACACACCTCAAAAAAGACACTTTTTTTTAAATCACGTGATTTGCTCGTCCTGGTATTTCGTTTTTAATTTGAATTCCAATTTTTACATATGCAAACAACTCAGGGATTCTTATTACATTTTCAATTTGATGTACAGTTACAATGCTATTTCACTTGTGATATGGCTTATTGCGCGAATGTTCTTTACAAAACTGGACTTTAAACTCAATAAAAATATTTTCAGGAATATTTTTCTATATTATTAGTGTTCCTCTTCTTATTGCTATCATTGATATTCATAAAAATAAGTAATAAATTAAGTAATTTTTCTTCATTAAAATGTTCCTTAAATAACTGGATTGCTCACAATTTAGTTTCAGCCAGATACTTACAGGAAATGTAGTTTTATAACAGCAACAGATGCACAGATGCAACAAAGAAACTGGATGGTAAACGACTTGAACTTGGCCTTTACACAATAACATTGATGTATGGTCCAATTGAGTCCAGTCGCTTTTTCAAATTTTGTATTTATAAGTGTAATGCACAGCAGGCTGCATGGAAAACGAGCAGCTGCTATATGATGTCTGTGTGGATGAATAAGAGTTTGGGTATCCTCTTACCATACATATTTATTACAGAGTTGTGGGATGCATTGAATCCAATTTCTGCACAGTAAATAACATTGAACTGTTTTACCAAATCATAATTTGCACCCTATCAAATATGCTTGCCCACTTGCCCTCACAGGCTACTGGTTTAAATGATGTCCGATTTTCTTATTAATTGAAGCACTGGATTAAATAAATTGTCATTATAATGTTTTTTGCTTAGTGACAGTTTAGGGAATATAATATAGAACTTTTCAGGTCAATAGTTTAAATGAGTGAATAATTTTCGTTTTTTAATTAAATAGTTTTTAAACCAATTGTCTATGCAAAATAGGATGTTTATGTTGCCATGCATTAAAAACAGAAAGAAGCATTAATTCAATAACTGAATATTAAAGATTATAAATCTGGGCAAAATACAAATGAGCTGGAAATAATGTTTGGTTTTCCTCTATTTTTGAAATGTTTCTATAAAGAAATGTATACAGTCAAAGAATAACAAAATGTCTACACTATACTGCTGATGCAGAATGCCTGAATAAGAATAAATATGGAGGCAGGGCTGCAAACTCATACTGAATTGTCACAGGTCACTGAAAAAATAGTTATGTTATCTAATTCATGTTTAAAATGAAGTACTGTGTTATCGCCCTGTCAGACTCTGGATGGCTTTGTGTTTGTCGTTGCCTCTGACGGCAAAATCATGTACATTTCTGAAACAGCATCAGTCCACCTCGGCCTGTCCCAGGTAAGTAAATGGTCTTCTCGTCTCTGCATGGCTCTGCATTCAAGACGTTTCTGTGATTTGTCTTGATTGGTCATGTCATCTTTTTGGGAATGTGTGTGCTGCAGGTGGAGCTGACAGGAAACAGCATATTTGAGTACATCCACCCATCAGACCACGATGAGATGACAGCAGTGCTGGGTCTTTGTCAGCCCCCACACCACCACTTCTCCCTCGGTACCTAAGGAGCCTCTGCGAGGTCTCGTGCACATGAGACAAGCCTTACTGTAAATGTATCTCGACAGCATTTTCAATCAGTATTACAACAGAGACATGTCATAGGCTACATTGATATTGTAAATTCTTTCTTTTTAATTGTGGTGAGCCTGGATAAATAATTGCGTAACCCATTTTTCTACTTTACAAACAATACTTACTGGACTAGAAAACCTGCAGCTTTAAAATGTGGGTTGTATACGTGTATAGATAACTTTAAAAGGATACTGGTCGGTTTGCCATGGTGCTGGAGAAGAATGTCTGGCTGATAGGCCGACAGCTTGTCAAAAGCAGCTTTGCACAGCTTTCATATGGAGCTGTGGCTTGGATTGCAGGCTTGCATCATTTTCTAGGTTTTTTCTGACAAACATACCTGCCAAATAACTATATGTGTTAAATGTACATCTAATACATGCAAATCTATTTATTTATTTACTGAATTTTAGATCATCTTAAGAGTAAAAAGGGTTACAGTTGACTACGACACTTGGATATTGTAACGTAAAACAAAACATAACATGCGGGTAATCTCTTTTTATTGTGTGTTTTGTGTGACAGAGTATGAAATAGAGCGCTCCTTCTTCTTGAGGATGAAATGTGTTCTGGCTAAACGAAATGCAGGACTCACATGTGGGGGATATAAGGTAGGTGCCGACACTGGATGGTAATTTACTCAGACACACAAACACACACGCGCACACACACCTACACGTACAGACACACCCAGACACACTCAGACCCAATGACTTCATATATGGTAACTTGGGGATCTGGAAGTGATTTAATTTCACAAAGTGATACTTAAACAAGTCATTGGTCGTTAGGTGGTTACACATTTTGGATATCTATATTCAGCTGCCCCTCAAAAAGACTCACGCTGCTGTCAGATTTTTGTCCAATGAATAGAGGCTCTCATAATCATTGCAAGCACACATGTGTGACGTACTGTGCTACACGAGAGATATAAGCCTACAAAGACAGAAACTGCAGTCCTTAGGTACTGTTGGCTTGTTTGAAACAACCTTTTTATAACCAACCACTAGGGAAGTGGCTGCATGTAGGTCGCTGTGATGATGCCAGGCAGAACAGCAAAGCTACACTTTGAATGACATTTTAAACTTTGAATAACGTTTTATTTGAACAACAAAAGTTCAAATAAAAACTTCCATTATCATTATTGTGATGGTAGTTGGATGATATGGCAGAAGCTGCACCGGTAGCAGAAGTGCAGAAAGCACTAAGGAAACATACCTCATATCCAAGTCTGCTTTGGTTTGGAAACAATGATCTTGTGTTTGTCTCAGGTACAAACCATTTCAAATGTTTCTGTCACTCTGAATTCACTTTGTAACTGCATTAGTGACCTGCTGTTTGTGGCTTCTTAGGTCATCCATTGCAGCGGTTACCTCAAGGTGCGGCAGTACATGATGGACATGGCGCTGTATGAATCCAGTTATCAGACTGTGGGTCTGGTGGCAGTTGGTCACTCCCTGCCCCCCAGTGGTATCACCGAGATCAAACTCCACAGCAACATGTTCATGTTCAGGGCCAGCCTGGACTTAAAACTCATTTTCCTGGACACAAGGTAGGACAGAAGAGCTACTAAACGTAGATAGAATGATGAAAGCAATAATATGCTTTCTGTGTGGGGATAAAAGATCAACAAAAATGTATTCAATTTAAAAATAATTAACTACAGCCCATGCACAAGATAACACATTATATCAATATTTGAATATGTACATAATATACATTGGCTGAGTAGACTAGTGTATTGACAACTGAACATTGTGATTTACTTGATGATTTACAATCATGTGAAAATCAGCAACCTGATTGTTAGCTTGTGTCCTCTCTCATGTGTGCTGGAGCCAGGGTGGCAGAGCTGACAGGCTATGAGCCTCAGGACCTGATAGAGAAGACTCTCTACCACCACGTCCATACCTGTGATGTGTTCCATCTACGCTATGCTCATCATTTATGTGAGTCCTCCAAATCCTTAGTAAAGATCTTCGGTGCGACGGTAAATAGAAGTTAAGTGACACATCAAGGATGATGAAGGGAACAAGGTAACGGCTCAGAAAAACAGCAAGCTTAAATCAAATAAGATGACTCAAAGGTCATATTTAATGTTCCTTGAATAAAAAACAACAGTGAAAACTTGGTGGTCGGTCAGAACAGGCAACTGTATCCTAAAGGGGTTCGGCAGAGAAGCATCAATCCATGGATCAAGAAGGAGGAATCAAGCAAGCAGAACAAAGGTTATAATATATAGCAGGTGCATGTTGAGTTGATGGGTACGGCAGGAAAAGGGTATACTGTAGGGCAGCAGGCGGTGGCTTGATCTGAAATGACAGGAGAGTTAGTATAGCGGGGTTAACCGAGCAGGCAGCAGAAGGAATGACGCAAGCTCTTTTTGTCTGGCTTGAGGGGGGAGATGGAAGGTTAGCCGTATCCTCAGAGAGCAAGGAAGGCAGAAGGAAACTGCTGCTTTGATGACCTTGGAAATGGGGAAAAGCACCAGAAACCACAAAGTCAACTTCTTAGACTCCACTCTGAGTAAGTGAGTCCTGCAGGGACAACGAGACATCCCATACCAGGAGGTCAAAGGGAGAAGGAATGCTGGGTCTGTAGCTGCTCTCCGAGTCGCGGTTTAGTGGTATGATGAAGAGTAGAAAGGCTTTGAATCCAGATGCAGCAACAGCAACCAATGAATACTTAATACGTAATCATCCCAAGATCACTGAAAGGGGGTTTGTCTGGTGCAGAAACATCTCCATCTTCTGGTTCTTGCATTTGATCTGGCTGCTGGACTGGGGATGGAAAGAGGGGGACGGGCTGATGATGGGTGCAAAACCTATTCCAGACATAATAAAGCGATATACGAGAAAATATATCTGAGGACACTGTAATTATGAAATTCATAGTGTAATATATTTAATCTTACTGTTTGGCCAAAGGGAATTTGGGGAAGGCAACAAAGTGAGCAGATTTGGAAACTGATCTCGCTTAATTGAGGCTGCCTTAGGAGAGTTGGCATGGGGTGTGACACCGCAAAGCAGGCCAGCCAAGAGTGATCCAATCACAGATCCAGGGAGCGGGTGTTAGCTAGCACAGAGAGATGGCAGCTACAGACAATGGGAGCGGACAACCCAACGTTTTATCTTATCCTCCACTGACCAGGTGACGGCAGAGCAGGTCAAGGGTCACTTTCTGTGGGAGAGAATAACCTTCACACTGGAACCGGTGAAAGAGGACATCATTTCTTATTATTTCTTATTTTTGCAATGTGGTTGGATGAAGTAAGAAGTTGATGAGGGGAGAGAGGAGCCGTCTCAGCGCTGTACTTCCTGATAGTTAGCAAAAAGCAGGAAATGCCGTAGTTCTTTGTGAGATATCCAGATGGACCAGTCCAAGACTGCCTTGCAGGAGAATGTGAGTTCTAATTCGCAGAGTGGTCATTCGTTGGGTTTTGTCCAAACAGGGTGGTTCCCAGGCCTTACGGAGGGTGCCAAGTAACCCGTTTATTTGAAATGACATCTGAACATCTCACCATTATATAAGTCATGATAAAAATATTGAGAATCCGATTCAATCTCATGCTGGGAATATAATGGAATAGTCAGCAACCCTTCTCTCCTTGAACCAGTTGGAACAGCTCTGGAGCAGCTTCTTGCTTCGCTCTGTGGTGAATAGCTTCTCTGAGTGGAAAACTGTAGATCCTCTCCCAGCAATGGCCCAGTCCCTGGCACAGCCAGTAAGCACAGAAATGATGTATGCCACCCTGGATCAGGCTCAGGCGGGAAGGAGGCTGGTGCTAGGACACGAGACCAACAAGCCGCTGGAGCTTTCAAGCAGGGTTTTAAAGTTGAGGGCAGTGGTTTAGCCGCAGCAGCTGGATAGGCTGGAGTATCACATGGAGGAACCGCCACCAGGTCCCGTACCATCATGGAGAGCCACTGAATTCCAGCACAGATGGACTCCAGAACTAGCTATATCTATACATACTTGCAAGGTGTCTTAAGAGAATATTCCAAATGTTTGTTCTGACAGCTGAGGAAATAGGTGGTGCTGTTATATAATGTTTTATATTTAAAACACAGATTGTGGTCTTCTAGACCAGCAATAATTGGTGCTTAAGTCCACACAGTCCACAGTTTTCAGATGCACACCACCTGCTGTGTACCAGCTGACACTGGTACACAGCAGGTAGAGATTAGCTGGTCAACATATTGGTGCATCTAGCAGCTAAAGAGACAGATATTTTTACAGGAGATGGTAAAGGCCAGATCTTAGTTAATAGAGTGAGAGAATATGGGGTTGGACTCGGGAACATGACTCTAAACAAATGATAATGCCACCCCGAAACCACTGACTAAGTTACTAAGCAACCGTCTGCTATCCATTTGAACAAAGATAATTTATAATTAATTTGGCAACGTTTTGTTCATACCTTATACTTTGTCTGCCACCAAGTGCCAAAAAATACAGTTACATTTAGTTGAGAAATGTTTCTTCTGATTTTTTTGAAGGATTGTTTCATTATGCTGGTTATAAAAAGAGGCCCTTCCTCTATATGCCTTTGATCCTGATCGATGTGTTCCGTGTAGTACTGGTGAAGGGGCAGGTCACCACTAAGTACTACCGCATGTTATCAAAGCATGGAGGCTGGGTGTGGGTGCAGAGCTACGCCACCATTGTCCACAACAGCCGCTCCTCCAGACCTCACTGTATTGTCAGTGTGAACTACGTCCTCACGTGAGTAAGCTGCCTTCCCCCGTGTTGTCCCCCTGTTATTCTCATGTAAAACTTGCAAAACCAGTACAAGAATTCACAGTGCCTGTCTCTGTGTTTGCACACAGAGACGTTGAGTGCAAGGAGCTTCAGTTATCTGATGACCAGAGTCGGGCCACAAAGCCGGGTCTCAGTCTCGCTTCAGTTCAGGACCACCGCAAACAGCTGAAAACCAAAGCAGTTAAGATGAAGACCAAACTTAGAGCAGTTCACTATCCCGAGGTCGGGATTCCACTTGGCTTGCTGAGTAAACAAAAGGTGATTGTTTTCACACTGTTGTACCTAATTTGAAAGGAAATGGTATAATTTTAAGAATGTAGTTTAACTCTTTGTTCCGTTACTGCTCTAAATGTTTTTCTGAGCTTCCAGTACTTTTATTGTTGGTTATCATCCTAATGCGGTTTTATCTGTGTCCACGGAAACCAGCACGCTGCTAGCCTCTTCAAGCAGGACCGCTTAAACTGCTCCCCACAGAGGGGGCTGTGGAAGGAGAGATCTGAGTACCCGCTGACCTCCTGCAGCGAAAGGAGCTCCAGCTTGAGTCCTGAAACAAGCCGGTTGTCGTGCAGCCCAACATACAACCTGACCCTGCACTACCCCTACAACCACCGGCATCTAGATGCTCAGAACCACCTTCCCGGCTCAGGTCTGTCCCCCCAGCCGGCTCCGCAGATCATCGGCTCTCTGCACAGCAGAGGGTCGGTTGGCTGGAACATCAGCTGCCCCGCAGCCCCAAATAAGTACACAGGTACAACATTCTATGTAACACAGTTGGGTTACCTCAATTGGGCGCATTAAAGAGTAATTGGACATTCTGTACATGTGTCCAGTTTGCTCCTCCTGCTGCCCATCCTCTCTCTCGGCAAATTTAATTTTAGCCTCTTAATATTGTTTTCTTCATCAGGCCCAGAGCTTGCAGCTGACCGCAGACACCCCGATGAGATCTACAATGATTGTTCCAGCCCCACAAACCCACATTCTACCGGCAGTCTGAAGGAAGAACCCTACGAACATTACACGTTTTTCCATGGTGAGCTGCCTGAGGTTTGTCCACACCCCCGCCCTCAAAGCGCCAAGGACATAAAGCGTTTGGGCCAACAGGTCCGACATAACACAAGAGGCGAGGGACCTCAAGGTGACCGGGGCCTTGCCTGCCCTTTGATCCGCGACCTAGTACCAGGCAAAGCTGAGCAGGGTGGCTCGCTGCACGGCGCCACCGGCCAGCCTCTCCCCGTGCAGATGGCGCTGGAGCAGAGAAGGCGGCTGTGTATGATGGAGGCTCCCTACAGCCACCCGGCCTCCGCATATCCACAACCTGCCAACAGCCTCCAGCAGCACGGAGCTACTGCAGAGCTGCAGCCCAGGTGTGCTGAGCAGGACAGGCGAATGTTGATCGGTATGGGAGTCGGCGTTGGACTTCCAACGCAAAACCCATACGTGTCTTTGAAGTTTCACAAGGTCCTGGGGAAACACGGTTCCATTAAAGCCCCCGCTTTCACCACACTGAGCCATGTAACAGACGGCCACAGTTACCACGGCAAAGAGAAAGCCTCTTACAGCTGTAACAGCCAGAGCCCCAGCTCCGACTCGTCAGCCGAGAGTCACAGAGAGATCCCACATTACATCGGTACATCCGTCATTATCACCAACGAGAGGTGACTCAGGAGACCACTAAGTGCTTCAAAGACTAACCCGAGGTCTCTTCTCTTCGACGCATCCACTTCAGCATTCTTTTACTCAAAATAGGACATTAGAGCTGTAAACTATAAGCAAAACAGCTTTTGCAGAAATTGGAATTAGCTTTTACTATTTTTATTATTATTAAATCCAAACCTAGGGGGCCTGAAAATCATAAATGATTTCAACCTGATTTTTATTCTCAACAAATCTTTTAATTGACACATTTCATTTCTGTATGCTCACATTATAAATTTAAACATAATTCACTAACAACCCATCCTAATTTAAGTTTGATTTTGAGGGATGGAATGGATTTTTCATCTGCCAAGCACACATCAATAAAATCTTAAAATCTTGATACATTTCTGAAAATAAAGGATCCAGGTCATTATTTGGTAAACAACAGCTAACAGATTTGCATCTCCCACTCTAGAACCAGTGTAGTACAACTATGTGTATACGAGGCAGCAACAAGCCTCCTCTGCAGCAGCTCTTGAAATGAAAATCAATTTGTATTTAACCGACAGAAGGATTAATTTAGGCAGAGTTTTGTCTTTAATTGCACTATTAATTCCCTGTTATATATTTATTGCATATCTTGAATGATTTTTCAGCCGTTTCCACTCTAAATAGGGTGCAATAGAATGGGGAGGTGAGGGAGTGTTTAGCATGTTGTAAGCTAGCCTTCCACACAGGCTGAAACAGCCTTCACACTCAACCCTGTCCCCAAGAAGTTAGCGCTTTGATATTGGAATTGTTATCACAAATAAATGTCTGCCGAGAATAAAATAAAGTTTGTTTTAAAGAAAAACAATGGCTTATTGCAGTTTGGGTTTTATTTCCATAGTTCTGGTCACGGGTTATGATGGAATTACTTTTATTTTACCATCAAGGCCATTTGATCAATACTCATTTCAGAGTAATGGTGTATTTTGGTTAAATAGTTCGTACGGAGATAATTCCGTCCCACAATTCCTTGCGGCCACAATAATTAAATAGTGACGTATGATTTCACGAGTTCTACGAGTAGTAATCATCATTACCGAAAAATGATCATTTAAGTAATCGTTAGTATAACTCATTTATATTGTAACCTTGTTATTAAAGTAATACTTTGAACCTGGTTGTTTTATATTGTCTGCATGACTTGTAACATTGCATGGACGAATGCATCTAAGATGCGCTTCTTTGTAGTCCATCCTTGGAGAAATTGTAGTTCTCTCCGCTGCAGACTGACGTCACTAACATGCGTCTCTCGTCGCATCATAACTACGTAGCTTAGTGAAAGTGGACTCCTGAAAAGGTTTTCTTTTCCTAAATACTCATGATCTCTCTCTTTCCTTGACTCTGTGATGTTTTCCACAGAGGTCAAATAAGGCAATTTTATATAAGGCTGATGTGAGGAGTCCATGTTTCTTTAATCTTTTTAGAATCACATATGCCGACTATAAATTTCCAAAAATGAACATTTTATGTTCTTATTCTCACCACCAACCATTTTATCGACGAGCAGCTCATCCACTTCCTGTCCCCGTTACTCATGACAACTTTGTCCATCAACATCCCATTTAGAAAGTGTTTTGCATGCAACTTTTTGGTTAAATAATGAAAACTACAATAAAACAAGGGGGTTGATCTTCTTTCTTGCAACTGTAACAAATACCTATAATCTCATTTGCACAAACAATACTCATTTGTGTTATTTAAGCGTCTTTTCTTGTTTGGTATGAATAGACTCACTGCAGAACATCCCGTTAACTGTGATGACTTCCACATTGGCATGTTGCGTCGGAGAGGAGGAACAGGACTGAGGTAGTGCTGAAGCACAGGGCTGCGTCCAGCTGCAGCCGCAGTGGTTTGCATGTGTGCTTTGACATTTTCACTTAATCTGGGGGGAAACGTCAGTGGAGAGGGGGGTGGGGGGATTGTGGGGTTATCCAGAAGGCCCAGGTGCTGTAGACAAATGAACTGTCATCAAGTAGCTTTGGGAGAAACATCAGGGTAACAATCCCTTTTTGTCTCACACGCACACGCACATGCAAACACACACACACACACACACACACACACACACACACACACACACACACACGCACACACACATTGGGTAAAATTGCAGAAACAGCTTTCTGCCGTCCGGAAGTGCTCTGCACTGAAATCACGCACTACCACAGTTCAATGTTTTGCTCAAGAAGTCGAACCGCCGGCCTTGGAGTTAACCGACGACTTATTCTACCTGCTGAGAAACACACGCTCCATATCAGTCGTGGGGTCATATATATTTTCCGTAAAGGGCTACTTTCACCTCACCTTTACCCTGTTTTTGTGTCTAAGTGACTAATGGTAACTACCATTTGTGAAATTGTTTCAGTGTTGAGAGAGAAGGCAGCAGACTGCAGCAGCTGAACTGGCTGTATGTGATTGCTGTACTGCAGTAATAAAAGGCCAAAGCGCTGGTTTGACCACTTACTGGCACAAATTGCTATTAGAAGTGTCAATATTACAGAAAGGAATTACCTTTAAGCCGTTTATCTAATCTGTTTGCTATTGTATCATGTGACGTGGTGGGTAGATTTGGGCTGTGGACGGACGGCTCACTGCCTCGACCCGGCCCAGCTAACAAGAGATGTCCATTACAACAGCTGTAATAATTGAAATAGGACTAATTAACAATGATCATAGAAACATGCAATAGAATGATAATGGCATAGCAGAAATAAAAGTAAGTCAACTTTTAATTAAAGCAGGGGACATTTACTTTATTCAGTACACCAGTAAGCCAATATAACTTTGCCACAAATGTTACTTTTACAAAGAGGCTGGTGTTCAGTTGTGATTGAACATTTAATTATGTTATGTGTTTATACTAATATATGCTATGGTTTGCATCATCCAAAGTGTGTAAAACACCCTCCAATTGGTTTATAAAGACGTTTTTAAAATATGTTCTTTAAGTAAAAAGGACAGAATTCTAAACATAACTTAAAATCTAAAAGCTCCCACCTTAATCTTTTTCAAATTAGTTTAGTAAGATACTGCGGCACATCACTATGATGTACCGCTGTAACTTCATTGACAATAGTGGTTTTGTAGACCGGATAGTTCAGCAGAGGCTTCTTAGTTAAAAGACACCAGCAACGTATTTCTGTGGAAATGTTTATTTTTCAGACATTAGCAACAACAAAATCTGTTTAGCTGTTCAGATGAGGGTTAAAGGATTTATTGCTCACAGAAAGTCGTACAAGTCATATTGTGTTGATGCTGGTTTGAATTAGTGGTCCCCAATCAGCAGGATATACTAAGATTAATCTGAGGCACCTCGCAGCCTTAAAACCCAGTGTCAGTCAGTTTGTCTTTGGGGGGGAATCCCCCCAACTAGCTCCCGTGGACGTCAGGTTAGCACACAAAGCTAACCAATACCCAATTGTACAACACAGACATATGTATGCAGTTAGATTAAATAACAAGCCAGTCCTTCAGTCTGATGGAGGAGATGCTGGATGTGGCCCTAACGCTGCTTGATGACCACCAGGTTCTTCAGCATGTCGAAGGAGTTGCCGTCGGGCTCCACGGAGACCACGCCCTGCTCCTTGCTGTGCACCTGGAGGAAGCCGTTGTGGTCCAGGCCCACCACCTCGGCCTCCAGTCCGTCCTCGCTCCAGAGACGCACCCGGGTCCCGCTAAGGGGGAGGAGACAAGAGAGCCGGCGTCACGCCTCCGCTTCGGGAGAAACCACAAAACCCAGCGGCCCGAAAGCGGCACCGGTTCTTGGCTTTGACAACTATGGACAACACTGGAGAAGATTAATACGTCAATATTTACGAGTGGCTTTCGTTAGAACCCCAATGTAATACAGGCCCCACTCTGATGCCATGTTTGGCCTGCTACCGCTCGACACATGTGTGTCATATGTTCTACTGCCTTGACTCCTCCATTTCCTGTCCTTTGAAGAACTATGCACACCTGATTTGCCAGTTTTGGTTTGTCTTTATTCAGCAGCAATCTGAGATCTCCGCCCTTCTAGTCTGATCTGTTGTAGTGAATTTGGAGATGCCAAACATATGTATAGATGTATGTTTTAAGTCTTACAACTGCACAGAGAGACTACGTCCTTTTCACATTTAACAGGCACATTCCTTCCCTGTAATTTTGGTTGTATGAACTTCCTTCTTATACATTTGCCGTTTTTCTGGGGAAGTTGAATTCTTATCTAATAGTTGCACTGATTTAAATTGTGGGATGAGTATACAGAAGCCAATCCACAAACAGTTTCATCTTATTTTTAAAATAAAATGTGTCCCGGCCTCAGGTTTGCTTGCATAAGGTCGGGCACAGACTTTAAATGTGAGTTGAGTATATTGACATCCGCCCATAAACTGAATTTCCAGCCTGCTTTTAACCAGCTAAACCAAAGTTTCTTGTACAGTAAAAGCCGCCCTCACCTGTGAAGCCATCGTTTGTAGTAGGTGGGCAGGACGGCATCCGGGCCCCCCCGCTGGAAGCTGGCGATAAGGGCCTCCAGGCAGCCGAGCGTGCGAGCGATGAGCTGGTCGCAGCGGAGCGGCTGCAGGCTGCAGTTATTTTGCGTGTTGTGCTGCTGGATCAGGTCATTGATGCACACCGTGGGGTTGCTGTTTGTCACGTTGAACCCACAGCCTATACGGCACAACGCGTCCCACACATGTTACTGTGATTGTATTAAGACAAAGAATGGTGACTAGTGACGAAGAGGAGGTTGTTACCTATCAGCAGGTGAAAGGTTGATCCTATAACAGTGGAAGTCACCAGTACACCACCGAGCTTCATCAGGTTACTATAGTAGATGTCATTGGGCCACTTCACCCTCAAGTCTATGTCCTGACAAACGTTGAAACACGTTCAAACGTCATCAACCAATACAAGGCATTTTCATAGAACACCCAACACTCACTGCATGCTACATTATGGTGACAGGGACTATTTGAATGATGTTTGGATGCAATGTCGGAGAAGATGTCTCGCCCAGGGAGCCAGTGAAGGGAGGACGTGAGAGCTGGTACCTGGTATCCAGGAAGAGTGCGGACTGCCTCGACCGCCGCCAGAGCGGCCAGATGCTGTAAGAAGGGGATCCTCTGTCCGAGCCTGGAGCTCAGCTCCACCTGGAGCGCCAGAGTGAACATGGCGCAACCCGGAGGGCTGAGCCATGCATTCCCGCCCCGACCTGCAGCAGACACAGGAGAGACACGAGGGGACAAAATAAGATGAATAAAACCCCAAAAAACAAAGGCAACGGAAACTTTGCCGATTTAATATGATGGAGGCATGTGTGTTTGTTGCATATGCAGCTGTACAGGGTGCTGAATACCGACCTCTGCCCTGGGTTTGTCGAGCAGAGACAGCTATCAGACCCGCATCCTTTGGCAAGTGAAGAGTCAGACTGAAGAGGGGGACAAGAATGTTAAACACACATTAAAAAGCACTCCTGGTTTACTCTCAGATCCGCCTCACCAGGGACTGTAAAGTCCATCCATCCATTGTCAAACCGCTTATCCTGCACACAGGGTCGGGGGGGGGGGGGCTGGAGTCCATCCCAGCCAACTTCGGGCGATAGACAGGGTACATCCTGGATTGGTCGCCAGCCAATCGCAGGACTACACAGAGACACACAACCATCCACACTCACATTCACACATCTACGGGCAATTTAAAGTCCCCAATTAACCTGATCCCCAGAGCATGTCTTTGGACTGTGGGAGGAAGCCGGAGAACCCGGAGAGAACCCACGCAGACACGGGGAGAACATGCAGACTCCACATAGAAAGGCCACTGGGCGGAATCGAACCCAGGACCTTCTTGCTGTGAGGCAACAGTGCTAACCACCACGCCACCGTGCCGCCCGGGACTGTAAAGTTTATTTGTTATTTCTAGAATAATAACAATAACATAGTCATCACATAATCATGATTATCAAATTAAAAGAATTATATTTTGTGGTGAGTGTTTGACTTCAATAGCGGGGATGTTGAGAGTTGTCATTCCAGAGATCTGGATTCATGCTCATCCATCAAAACGCCTTAAGTTGTACTCATTAAGTTCCTGTGGATCCCCACTGGACGGCCTTGATTGATTGATTGCTTTGAGGGCTTGGACGTTAATAATTACAAACAAGCTTCAGTAAAATTAAACTGACACAAAGTATGATTGGTTGTCATTATGTCCCATCCGCCACACACTAAAACCGATGTGTCTCCCTGCAGTGCAATATGGCCGACAACATCATTATAAATAATAACATCGACTCTTTTAAAACCCCTCAAAGACAGATCAACAATCAGAGTGTTGCTTCTTTCGGGAATTGTATCTAGAACTAAATAGAACAGGGAGAGAGAGAGAAAGAGCTCAGCACTGTCATTTTTGCAGTATTGACAACTGGTAGAATTCCATTGCAAAAAAAAGTTCACTGGCGTGACGTGAAGTTTTGAAATAAAGTTATAGCTCAAAGTGCAGTTGTATTTCAGAGAAGGTCCAGCGAGGTTGTGATAATTAGCACAGTGTGTCTGCATTTCATCAATGCTCATCTGAGAGCCGAATGTTTGCACATTCTCTCATCTCCAAAATGCAATTAAAGCTGATCCAGCGGCCCGCAAAAAAAATGCCCTCGATTGGCTGGCGAACAAAGATTGTGAGGCTGCCAAAGAAAGAGAGCAGGGCCTTCCTGCCTTTGTGATGCAAAGTTGGTCATCGGTAAATCAGCTTAAGTGTGTGGGCGCCCCCGACTCTGGCCAGATAGAGCTTTTTAACAGACTTCTCTAGGAGGTGTTCATCAAAGAGATGGATGGATGGCTCAATTTAGCTCCCGGGCTCAAGGAATGTTGCTAACTTTATGCAGCGGATTGAATTACCGGGGAGTTTATCAGCCGTTAGTCATGTATGATTATGAAGAGAAGCTTCACAGTTCTTGTCTGTTTTAGTGCTGCGAGGGATCAGTTAATAGCACACTAGCTCCCTTGACTAAAAGCCAATGACATTTTTCCACTGGATTATTGGATTACTGCAGTGTGACAAAGGATTGTTTATGACACTACTACGTTTTTATTCAACAGTCATCACTGATGAACACCACTTTGAAGTGTGAGTGTAATCAGCAGCAGTAAAAAGCTAATTTTCCAAATGAAATGAGCTACTTCAAGGTCATATGACTTCCCCTCACCACCGCTAAGACAGAGGACGTTCACTGATTGAGATATTGATAGCCACCGTCTCTGTAAAGACACGTACACGCTTCAGAATGAATCTACTGTAGTATTGAATTACTTGAATTGTATTACTTGTGCACTGCTGTCTTGTTGTCTATTGTTATACTGTCTACTGTCACGCACCAACCACCAAGTCAAATTCCTTGTATGTATGACATATTTTGGCAAAAAAATGTTTCCTGATTCCTAAAGAACATTTTATTTCTGTGTTACAAAAAGCTATCAAACTTGTGATAACTATATACCTTATTGTAAGGCACCTAACTCAGAAACCTAAAGATCATAAACTTCAAGACCAGAGAACTTTCTGGGTTTTAGAGAACAACCGTCTTATTTACAGAGTCCCTTCATCACTCATCCACATTCCAAATATGGTAAACTAAAGTTCATTGGTTGCTAAAAAAAAACAAAAAAAACATGGCAATGGCCGCAATTCAAGATGGCAACTGCAAAATCTGCAAATTTGACGCTTCAAAACTGTGGTCCACAAACCAATGGGTGACGTCACAACGACTCCATCAACTCGGTTATGCCGCACGGAAAACAATATTGCGCTGTCCAATACCGAACACCTATATGTTGACCAAAATCCAGACTTCATTTCTCGAAAAGCTCTTTTCACAGCCAGAGTTTCACAGGAGATCACAGGAGTGATCACAATCCAATTGCATCTACGTAGGACCAGGACCCATCCTTCAAGTGTACCTGTGCACCGGTTCATTCGCAACAACACTATTTGGAAATGCTTTAATGTATGCAAATATGTCAGCCAGACAGGCATAGCTCGGGGGCCAATGAAAACATGTGGGGGGGGGGGATCTGAAAAAGCTCAAGGCTTCAGGAATTTTCACTTGGCTGAAGCTGAACACAGTGGACGTTTGTGTGGCGCTTCTGCAGACAAGTAACTGCCAACATGTGTTCACTAATGAAAGACAAAAAAAAAATAATTTCCAAAACAAAACCCTGGGTTCGTGCTGTCAGAAACCCATCGTCTTCAGCCTCAGATCGAATCCTGAAATTGGAATAATCATAATAGCTAATTACATATGCAGAGAACTGGGCATGAAAGCGCTGTGATCTATTTGTTCCACCGTATGTGGTTACTAAATCATGATGGAGAACAAATCTTATACCAGCACATGAAATAATTCCCTCTGAGCGGGTGAACACACACACACGCACACGCACACACACACACACCAGAGGGAGGAGGGGTTAATGTATGCTGTGTTAGCTGGAGCATGACCCTGCTGAGAATGAGGCTGGTTAGGAGGTGCCTCGTCCCTGCTGAGGCTGGAAGTGGGGGGGATGCTGCTGTTTGGCAGGACCACCGGCGACTGGGCCAGGTCCGTGACCGACAGGTCTCTGCTGAATATCAGCCCCTCTTGGAGAACTGGGCCGAGCTCCCAGCTGGCTCTAGGGAGTCCTCGAGCTTCATAAAATGAGCTTCACATAGAAGACCAGTGAGACCACCGCTGACCGAGGGGACACGGGGGGTCTTGGGATGAGTCTTACTTATCCTCAGCTTAGTTTGAATGAAGCATGTTACAATAATCAGCGAGGTAAAATTGTATGACTGGAGTTGACGCTTTTGACGGGAGCAAATTAATTGCATGTCTTGCACCCCGATAATTGATAATAATTGTCCAATTAGGCCCTGTGCAGTTATTTGTCCCAGGATGGATGCCGATTGTAACCTTTTTCTCAGAAGATAAAGGACAAATGTTAGCGGGGTTCTTTGTAGAAGTTTGATTACAGCTCATTTCCGATTGGACAGAGAGAAATGGGAAAGAAAATTATATAGTAACTTTATAACCCCAAATATCCAACAAAAACACCTATGTCCTCTGCTTCATTTGACCTATTGCCCAGTATTTGAAGACTTGCATCTTATTAGCTTTAAATCAGGATCTTGTTGACTGAGGTGCTTTCTATTTGCAAATCTATTAGCTATAGTTAACTCGTGTCTACGTAGCGCTTGTGTAAAAGCACGAATAAATTGCTGGTTTTAAATGACGTGTGTTATCTTCTTGCTTTGATGGGTTTGTACTCAGAATAATGTACCCAGGATCCACAGCGGCGGTCCAGAGAACCAAATCCCCAACCCTTTACTTTAGAAAGTGCCACATTCAAAGATGAAAATCCCCGCTCTCGGTTCATCCTGACATCCAAAGAAGCACAAATTAATCTCCGAACTCAATTATGAGATCAGTGACGAATCTTGTGCCTTAACACCTAATGCTCTTACTCACTCAATGGGTAGTTGTCAATAGAGGAGGAGGAGCAGTGCCGTGTCTTCATGTGTTCCTGCGTACTCCAGCTCCTGGCAGGAACGCAGGGGAGGGGGGGTAATCACATTCCTCTAGGAAGCTAATCTCATTTAGAAAGCACCTCCGCTGAGGCCACCACGAGCTCTGAGAAAAGCCTAGAATGTATTACAAGAATCCTCATCCACGTCCTTAAAGCGATGCAAAAGTGGCGATGAGAAAAAGACTGTGGATGTGAGCCGAGGGAATAGAGCCATCCTTTGTCCGTTATGGTGCCATGTTAATATGACCCGCAGAGGAGACACCCGCTGCAGGAGGAAAGGAGAATATCCAGGGAAGAGCTTGGCACTACGCGGCGACACCCCACTGGGGGAGCAGTCATCAATGCTCCATGTGAGGAGATGTTGATCATCAATACAAACACATCCACTGTGCTGCTGCCACAGACAATCAGTCAAGCAACTGATTGTTGAAGTTGTTGTCAACATTGGGTGAAGTTTGTAACTTTTAAAACAACCTGCTAGCTCTCTTGAAGCTGTCGCATTAGGGTTGTAATGTTAATTAGCACCCGACTGCCAAATTGTTGTCTATTATTTGCCAAAAGCGCTGCTACCTGAACAGTCCTCTCTGCAAATAAGAGCTGGAGTTAGATCGGGAAACAAAATCATCAATAAATCTAATGGAGAGATTTCCCAAAGTGTCCTCTTCTGCTCAACGTTTAAGTAGTTAATATGTGATATATCTTGTGTATATAGATGGTTGATGGCTTTAAATAGGACAGACAAATACAAAGCAGTTTAAGGCTTAACAAACGGTTATTGGTCGTTTTTTTAATCGCTTGTTTTTAGGTTGGTTGTTATTCTTTTTTTCCAGTCCAAGGTGAATTCCTCAAATGACTCGTTTTGTTCGACTAA